GCCGTGCCACCTGGAGCTGACACAATTCCGGAGCCAGGCAGCCGCGCAGGGACCAGCTCGGGGCTGCGGGGCCGACAAGCCGATCCCTGCACCGCGATTGCTTTTCCTTCTGACTTTGAGCTGGTGCATGGGGCCACCGCCAGCCGCCCCCCGGCCCTGGCCAGGGAGGATGGTGCTGGACTAAAGAGAGACAACAACTGCCGGCCCTGTCACCGTCTCCCTGCCCGGCACAAACCGCCCTTCAGGAAGCCGTGCGGCTGGGCCTTGCACAGAGGGGGCAGCACCAGGGGCTGCGGGGCCCTGGCAGCTGCCAGCTGGAGGGCAAGGGGTAAACCCGAGGGGTCCGTCCGGCTGCCAGAGGGACAGAGGCACTGAGCACCGGCAGGAGCTGGGCTCTGGCCCTTCGCACGAGGCTCCTGCTGCGGCTCGATCGCCGCTGAACATCAGCGAGCAGCTTCAGCAGCACCTGCCCTTTCACCAAGCCAGGGGGCGGGGAGCTGGAGCCCCATCCCTGAAAGCATCCCCCCCCCCCCCCAGACACACACACACACGTTTTCCCCCTCACACGGCTGCCAGGATTACTGTAGCTCCCCTGAGCCCAGACCCTTCACCTAGTTCTTGGCAGGAAACCAATTACAGCTGAGTCAGCAGATCCGGCTGATTCTTCACAGAGCAGCCAGGGCCTTGGTTCTCCTAGCCCGGGCCCTTCCCTGGGCTGACGTCTCTGCGCTGTTTCCTAGCCACGGGGGGGCACCTGGCTAGCAGCAAGAGGAGTGGGGAGCTGGCACTGGGAACAGGCAGCTCGGGGGGCATTGCCCAAGGGGGTTAGGCAGCCAGAGCAGGGGGCTTCAAGCAGAACAGCCTCTGTCGGTGTTGTAGGGCCCGGCCAGCATGTGCTGCGCTGCACAGACCAGCAAAGAGGCTCCATCGCCCCAGGACGGGCTCCAAACACTCGGGGGGAAGGGAGAGGGCAGGAGTCAGATCCTCTTGTGGGCACCAGGTCCCCTTCCTCGTGGCTCAGCGTGGGCTGACGTGGAAATAAACCTGTCTCCTTCACTCGGGTTAAAGGAGCAGCGAGCACACGGCCACTGGCCTCTAGCTCAGGGTAGCCGCTTTAACTCACGCTGCCGACCCAAGTTAAAGCCAGGTTCCACCGTGTCTTCGCTGCTTTAACCCCTTTTGTGTGCAGTGTGGACGTGGCAGCCAGAAGGGGGGCATGGCACTAGCAAGGTAGCAGTTGGGTTAAAGTGTCTTTCGCTGATTATCATGCAAGCTGGCGGCTGGAGACAAGTAGAAGAACCAGCAGCCTGGGCACAGCCCATTCCCCAACCCCCCAGAGCCCCACTCCCCCCCACAGCCTCCTCCCCACAGCCCCTAGCAAGAGCCGAGACCCCGGACCCCGGTCAGTGGCCAGCTGCTCTGCACAGCCCCAGCCTGTCCTGTCCCTGCAGCCCATGGGAGTCTGCTACACGGCTGCTCAGCTCCCTGCCCCAGCGAGCCAGGCAGGCCCCGTGGCCCAGGCTGGTGTGACGAAGTGGGACTGTTCTTAATGTTTCCTCTGAATAGTGTGGGGGTGCCTCAGTTTCCCCTAGGCAGTTCTTAAGTATCTAGGGGGTGGGGTAAGGGTGTATGATCATTGCAGAGCCCTAGAGGGCAGGTGTGTGCAGGAGTCTGGACACAGAGAATGGCCGACACCCTGTTTCCTGGCAACTGATGGCCTGGGCCTTCCCCCCTGCAAGGTGAGATCTAAAGGGTTGGAGAACAAAGGAATCAGGTGACCTCCTGGCCCGGGAAAGGAACAAAGCCCAGAGGAGGAGGGGCTGGAGGGGGTTTTCAGTTTGGGGCTGGCTGGGACATGGAGTGAAGTGCAGACGTGGTTGTCTGGCTCACTGCCCCCCAAAATGGACGCAGCTGAGGGGTCCCGTTCTCTGCACCTGCAAGCTCTGTTTTAGACCATGTTCCTGTCGTCTAATAAACCTTCTGTTTTACTGGCTGGCTGAGAGTCACGTCTGACTGCGAAGTTGGGGTGCAGGACCCTCTGGCTTCCCCAGGAGCCCCGCCTGAGCGGACTCGCTGGGGGGAAGCGCACGGAGGGGCAGAGGATGCTGAATGCTCCGAGGTCAGACCCAGGAAGGTGGAAGCTGTGTGAGCTGTGTGTCCTGAAGACAGGCTGCTCACAGAAAGGCGACTGCCCCAGAGTCCTGACTGGCTTCATGGGGAGCAGTTCCAGAGCATCGCCCAGGGACTCCGTGACAGCTGGCTCAGCCCTGCTGGGAGCCCCGTCTTCTAAGCCGCCTGGGAGAGTGGGAGGAAAGCTGGCGAGCCCGGCTATTTCCTGTGTGCGCAGCCAGGCCCCCACTGGCTGCTCCCAGAGACATTTTTGACCCAGCAGCTGTAGGAAACCCAGCGCCAGAGGCCGAGGGATTTAACCCCTTCTGAGCCAGGGCAGGATTCGGGAGGAATAATACAGCCCAGAGACCAGCCAAGCCTGCAGGAACTCAGGGCGTCTGTCAAAGGAGCCAGGCCATGAGGTGCCGCAGCCTTGGCTGCCAGTTTTGCTGCAAGTGGATCCTGGCATCTGAGCGCCATTCCGGTACCAAGGGCCCAATCCAGCTGAAATTCATGTAACTCGGGGACTGTCTATTTGGGAGGTTGCCCAGGGCTTGCTGCCTTGCTGCAACCGCCAGTGTGAACACCCGCCCAGAGGACTCGTGCTGCTGCAACTTACCCCCGCGTCAAACGGCTTTACCCCTGTGCAGGGCATCTACCCTGGGGTTTGCAGCAGGGCAGCTGTATTACCATAGCAACCCCAGGGCAGAAATCCACGCGCGGTGGTCTCAGGATCCCCCATCTGCCCCGCTGTATTGCAGACTCCGTCACTGCCCTAGAAAGGAACAACACTCAGAGGCCTAGGCAGAGGTAACTCTGCCCTCCCCACCTGCTGGGGGTTCTGGGGAGAGGTCCAGCCTCTTCCAGTGTGGGGGAGAACGTAGCATCTCCCCAGGAAACAACTGTGTCTCGCTGGGGGTTTGTTCTCTCTAGTGTTTCCCACTCTTGTTGGTGCTTGGAGCGTGTGGAGTTGGTTCTAAACTGCCCCAGCGCACGTGGGAACCGGTCACGGCACCTTCGAAACGTGTCTCGTGCTGGCTAACATGGTGACCAATGTCTTGGAAAAGACGGAGGGCCTGGGGATGGACAGAAGGGGTGTGTGGGGGCAGATAAGGGACTGGTTGTTGTGTTTTGCAATATTTTAGATTTGCTGATTATTCTCTGTTTGCAGCCCTGCCACGGGCTGGAATCTGCCAGTTTATCATGTCGGGCAGATCTTTGTGACGATGTCCCGGTCAGAACTAGTGACCAGAGAGCAAGTGTGAAAAGTTAGGCGACTATATAAGACAAAGCCCCAAATATCAGGACTGTCCCTATAAAATCGGGACATCTGGTCACCCTGGTCAGAACTGGGTTGAGTTTCCTTTACTCTGGGGTTTCAGAAAGTCCTTTCCTTCAACCGGCCCTTTGGAAAATCGCTGCACGTGTTCGCTTGTTGTTCGTACACACATGTGCGCACACATGCACCTGCATTTAAATGATGCTAAGGGGCTGCTGAGAGAAATGTAGAGTGAAAGTAGCTGCTCCCCTCTAGCTCAAGATATAGTAACCCCAGTGAGTGGTCTGACAGACCCTGCTGCCCCTCGGCACCGCAGGGAGAGAGCAGCAGGTTTGCAGTGTCAGTTTGAATTGGATTTGTCATTACTTCTGGTTAGAATTTTTGCATGTAGATTAAAGAGCATCTTGGTGTGGGGGCTGGGTCAGACAGTAACCCTCTCCCCTGCCATCTGGCACACCAACACCCACAATTCCCCTCCCATCGTTGTGTGTCTCCTAGCTCTGTCCCAGGCAGAAATCCCACAAGCTGCAGCTGGAGTCCCCTGCTATCCCGCAAACTTCCCTGACACTGTACAGGCAGAAAAGCATGTCGTTTTGTGGAGTGACTCAGTCAGCTGATTCTGGCTTCTTGGGTCCCTGTTGTTTGGTTCTTGTGCAGTGTTTATTGAAAGCCAGCCAGAGGTGAGGGGTGGCTTACAGCAGTGGGTGGGCGAGGTTCTGTGGCCTGCAGGTCAGACTAGATGATGATGGTCCCTGCTGGCCTTAAAGTCCCTGAGTCTCTGAAAGGAAATAAGCACCAGCCCCCAGTGCTCTCCTGGCTGCACCAAACATTTTGCAAATGGTCATTTTAAACAAATGGATTCAATGGAGCCAGTGAAGCCACTGGGATCAGCGAAGGAAGTGCTTTGTTTGTCTCTCTTGTCTCTTAAGTCATAACCTTCTAACCAGGAGCTGCTGAGAGTCTGGAGAGGGCCGGATTTCTGCTCCCCTTTCATAGCACCAGGCCCTTTTGTGCGAGTCCAGCATCCTTCTCCGGCCCAGTGATGTCAAAATCCTCTGCCTGTGACATCAGCCACCTCCGTGGCAACCAGCAGTGAGGTCACAATAAGAGGATTGTGGCCTCCCAGCAGGGGCCAGGGGCTGAAGAGACCTTTGCACACAGCTCTCCGGGTGGGGGGTGAACTCTCACCCTGGCGCCCTCTGCTCTGCAAGGCTCTTAGGGAGCGGGGAGCAAGTCCCCTTCCCTCCCCAGGGGCACCCGCCTCTGAGCGGGGCGCGGGGGAAGGACTAGCGCCGGGGGTTGCTATGGCCGGGTGAGCTGCCAAGTGGGGTCCCAGCGCTGGAAGCCAAAGGCTCTACCCAGGACCAAGCTCGCCTCCTGCATCATCCCCTGCCCGGAGACCCCGAAAACTCAGACGCTCTTTGCTTGGCCGGGGGGCGGGGGGGGGTGAATCACAGACACAAGTGGCCAGATTTTTCCCGCGGGGAGCGCGCGGAGGGGGGTCACCGTCCGGGCGCGGCAGGTCCGCGCTCCGCCCGGGCAGGGCCCCCCCGCGGCGGGGCTCATGATGCAAGAGGCCGGGGCGGCAGGCGGGGCTCCTCGGGCACCTGCCGAGCGATTGGCCGGGCCCCATGACGCGCCTGCCCCCTCCCCGCCCGGGGGCGGAGGGAAGCGGGCCGGGTGCCCCCAGCCGGAGCCGGAGCCGGGGGAGCGGCCCGCGAGAGGCCGAGGGTGCCCGGGCGCATCAGGGCTTCGCAGCGCGCAGGGCTCCCCGGCCCGACGGGCGCGCAGCGGCAGCGCCCGCCCTGCCCGGCGCGGCTGGAGCCCGGGCGGGGGGATGCCGTTCCCGGGCGGGCTCTGGTGGCTGCTGTGCTGTCGGCAGGGCTTCACCCTGCTCCGGCGGGACTATGGCGAGCCGGACAAGGAGCCGGACGGGGAGGCCGAGGAGGAATCGTCCTTCGAGCTGCGGAGCAAGGGAGCCCAGGTGGGTGCCCGGCGCGGGCCGCCCGCTGGCGGGACGCGGCTGCTTCGGGCGCTCTCCGGGGGCGCAGCGCTGGCCCGGCTCCCCGGCGCCGCGGGGTGCGCTCCCGCAGCCCCGCACGCTGGGGCCGGGACGTGGGAAGGTCCCGGGGCCAGGCCCCTTCCCCCCCTCACGGAACCGCTGCCCCCGCCGTCCGTGCGCGCTGCTGGCTCCCTCCTTTGGAGCCTGTCTCTGCCCGGGGTGGGGGGCGCGGGCCGGGTCCCGAGCTGCGCTCAGCCCCGGAGAGGGGCCCGGTGCCTCGGCAGGGCCAGCCGCAGCGCTGGGCTCTGGTGCCCGCCGCCAACGGGGGCTGAGCGCGCGGTGGGTGGGGTCCCCGTGCCCTGCGGGGAGATGCAGCCCCGGGTCCCTGCCCTGTGCGGGGACCCCCAGCCCCGGCTCATGGCATCCAGGCACCCCCTGCCCTGCCCCGTCCATGGAGCCTGGTGGCAGGCTGAGTGGCACCCTGACCGCTCCCAGCTCTTTGGGGAAGGGGTGGCCCAGACCCTGGCCCCCCCCCCTCCCAGCACCCCTAAGGTAGGGAGGTGGCATCAAACTGTACATCAGGAGAGGGGGGCGTCCGCTGGGTCCTAGCTTCCTTGGGGGCCTGCCACCCCAATAGTGCGAGGGTGTCGAGGGACCCTGCTGGGGGTGCACGGGGGCTCAGAGGTCTCCCCAAGGCTCTGTATGCCTGTCCCATTAGGGGCGGCGTAGGGAGGGTCGGTGGCCCTTCTGGCTGCTGGAGCTGCACCTACAGGCCCTTCACCCTGGCACCAGCTGGGGCTATAGGGGCCCTTCTCCAGGAGCAGGGGAAGGCGGGAGCGTCCCCTCGCCCCCGGGGCTGGGTTGGGCCTGCAGCTCTGTGTATGGCAGTGCCCGGGGGAGGGGAGGGGAGGGGAGGGGTCAATCTGGCGCTGAGTTCACGGCCTGGAGTTTGACTTGCCCCCAGTGGGTTACACCATGTTTCTTTGCATCAGTTTCCCAGCGCTTTCCTTTCCTGCATTGCAGTCACCTCTTCCCACCTTCCCAGGCAGGCAGCGCCATCCCCACCGGCTCTGCAGAGGACCTGCTGAGGCATGCACCCCTGAGCTGGCTGCAGCCTTTCAGCAAATGTTGCTGAACTTCTCCCTGCGGTTAGAGGGGCTGGCTGGGCCCTGGGGGCCCTGGCTCCATTTCCTGGCTCAGCCCCAGGCTCCCAGTGCTACCCTGGATAAGTAGCTCCGGCTTTCTAGAGAGCCCTGGGCCAGATTTCCACAGGCTCAGCCCCAGCAGATGGGGACGGGTTTACAGCGGGCTGCTGAGTTCTCCTGAAAATTGTGGCCGGTCTCTCTGGGCCTTGGTTCCCATTCCTGTGCCTGCCTTGTTCCCTCAGAGAGCTCTTTGGGGGCAGGGCCTGTGTCTCGCTGTGTCTGTGCAGAGCCTAAAAGGGGAGAAGCCCCAGGCCTGCTTCCTTTGGGGAGTGTCCTCGTCCCAGGCTTTCTGGAAGTCCACGTCCGCTGTCCACTGGTGCGCCCTTGGCCGCGGGTGAGCCGACCCCCTAGGGGAATTCTCACCAACTGGGGAGGTAAAGGGGCTGTGGCATGGGTCAGACTGTGTGCAGGGAGGCTGTGACGCCCACCGAGGACCACGCTGCCCTCCCGTGGTGGTGTGTGCAGGAGGGGCGCGGGATGCTGTCTGACTTGCTGCCACTCTTGCGGTTGGTGCACAGGGTGTGTATCTTCCCCCCTCGCCCCCGGGACCTGGCCCTCGCCCAGGCCCAACCCAGCAAGGTGATCTCAGCGGAGGTGCGTGTGGTGCTGGCAATGGGGAGGGGAGCCCCGAGCTGCCACCGCGTGTCTGAGGCTCCCCAGAGCCCTGGCTCATCCTGGACCTTAAATAGAGGGTTCTGGGCTGTCAAAAGGGGCCAGAATCCTTCACATAACCCCAGAGCAAACAGTGTCTCTCCCTGCTAGCTGCCAACTCCCCAGTCCACACCATCGCCCCCTCCCCTGACTGGGGGCAGCGCTGGAGGACAGAGAGGGCTGGTCTCTGTACCCTGAGCTCTGTGTTCCAGGCCCCCCGACTGCTGCTCACCGGCTAAGGAGTCTGGGGTCTGTCCCAGGTGCAGGGGGAGTGGGAGCTGCTTCTTCTGTCCTGGAAGGACCCAGGTGATCCTGCCCCTTTAATGCCACTTGGTGCTGTAATTCAGAGCATGTGAGACCTGGTGTGGGGGTCCCAGTGCCAGGCCCCTGGGGGCCGAACGTGTGAGCTGGGAGCTAATCCTGCACCTGGCGGCACTGGGGAGCGGGCGGCCTCCTCTCAGCCCCAGGACAGCACCAGCCCCACAGGCTCAGATCTCCGGAGTTCTAGCTACCCAATGGCGGGCCGGGGGGAGCAGAGGGGAAGGAGGGGTGCCTCTGTTGCCCCAGGGCTGCTGGTGGATGGAGCCAAGTGCCCCTGCAAATTCCTGGCTAACCAGAATGACGGGGGGGCGGGGGGCTGTGCATGTGAGCAGGGCGGTGCAGTGCTATGCATGTGAGTGGGCCCGGGGTGGAGGTGGGGGCTCGGGGGTGTGAGCTGGGCAGGGGTGCTGGGCGTGTGAGCGGGCCCTGGGGTGGGGTGGGCATGTGAGTGGGACAGGGAGGCTCGGGGTGTGTGAGCGGGCCCCGTGGGGAGGGGCTCGGGAGTGGAGGGGGCACTAGCCATGTGAGTGGGCCCTGTGGGGAAGGGTTCGGCGGTTTGAGCAGGACCCAGGGGGGGTGGGGGGGTGCTGGCCGTGGGAGCAGACCCAGGCCGCTTCTTACACTGCAGCCTCCAGGCAGTGTCCGTGGGTTTGGTGTCACGGCTGCAGGGGGCTGAGGTGTGGGGAGGGCCCTGTGTCGGGGCAGTGGTCAGGCGCAGCCCCCATCTGGAGCGATGTGGGGGCAGAGATTGGGTAGCTCTGTCCCTCTTGACCCAGACATGGAGTGCCCAGCGGCTCGAGGGTGCTGGGGGTCCTGGGTACTGAGCCAGGGTCCCCCCATTCCTCAGCCTGTCCTGGGATCTGAGCCCTGGTGCTGACCTCGGACGCTGGTGCAGCAGCCCCTGGGCTGGCCTGTCTCTCCCGGTGGAGCCTGCTGGGGAGCGGAGCTGCCCACCCCTCTGCGGGGCAGGGAGCAGCAGGGCCGGGGTGCTGAGTCCCAGGCAGAGGCCCATGGTTGTGGGGGGGCTGCCCCCAGTGCAGCAGAGAGACCGGCCAGGCCAGTGAAATGCCAGCAGCGACCAAATGGCCTCGCAGGGCCCCAGTGGCTTTACGGTGCTCCCGGCCCTTGGGCTGCCCCAGGGCCTTTCATGGACCTGCCAGCTCCGGATGGTGCCCAGACTACGGGGCTGTTGTTCCTCGTTGCCATCAGAGCACCGCAGGGCGAGGCTTGGTGCCAGTGTGGGAGTGGCAGGGCCGTCCCAGGGGTGCGTGGAGACAGGTCATATTGCAGTGCAGGGTCTGGCAGCGCCTGCGGCCGCTTCCTCCGAGCCTGGGGAAGCTGCTGGTTTGCCCTCGGGCTGCCCTGTGTGGAGGAGGCTGATAACGCTGGGGACTCCCTGCTGTTTGATAAGGAGACTTCGTGCTTCCCCTTCCCCAAGGCCTGTGCAAAGGGGGGCCGGCTCGGGGGCCCACGGGCACCGGTGGCTGCTCTGCCTCCGCGTCCTGCTGGGCTGGGCTGAGCAGCGCGCTGGGCCCTGCCCCCGCCGTGCGGTCTGTGGGGAAGACGTTATCAAACCATGACGGGTCATGTGCTGTGTGGGGCGTGGCTGCCCTGCCGGGGCCCTCGTGAGCACCTGTCTGTGCAGGCCGAGTTCCCAGCCCCTGCCTAAGCCCCAGGGCTGATACGTGTGGGGCTGGGGAGCTGGGGTCCCCGGCTCCGTGCCGTGCAGCTGGAGCAGGTGCTAAGGAAACCGGTGCCCCTCAGTTATACACACCTGGGCACCTGTCACCGTTCCGCTCCGCAGGACTTGCCATCAGCATGGGCCATGACGCCCCTCGTCGCCCCGGGGGCAGAGCCCGCACTGCCTTCCCGGTGCCCCGGCGCTCCCAGTGGCCGCTGCCCAGATGTGGCTTGTGGGGAGCCCGTGGGGTGGTTTTAGAGAGGGCTGTCTCTTTAAGGGGGGGGTCCCTTTCTCTGGGGCTGATGAGCGTTTCCCTGCCAGGGAGGCAGGCAGCAGAGCCAAAGGAGTGACTCCTCCCTGACCTCGGTGCCGGGGCCCAGGGCCCCGGCTGTTGCCTGCCCCTGGAGAGCTGGGCTGGGTGCTGCGGCTAGGTCTGGGCAGCCGCCTCGCCAAGCACCCCACCAACCAGCCCCAGCTGTGCTGGGAGCACCCCCACCCCCCATCGTGGGAGCAGCCGCCCCAGCCCTGCACGCTGGGGCCTGGCTCCTGCCTGTTATTTATATCGCTGGGAAAGAGCCCGCGGCTCCCCCGCAGCTGGGAGGCAGCCAAGGCCCCGCGGCTCGGCTGAAGATCTTCCGGGAAGCTGTTCGGGGAGTGGGGAAAATCCTCCCCTGCTCTGTGGCTGGGTGCAAGGGGGCCCCAGCCAGACCCCCCCCCCCGCCCCCAGTGCTTCTGGGACTGAGAGGAGCCAGGCTGTCAGTGCAGGGGCTATGGTTATATTGGGAACAGGTGCTGCTAATGCCACAGGTCAGCCGAGCCCTCGTCCCCCAGGGCTGCGTCTCAGTACCTGCTGGAGTCGCTCCCCCGGCCCCCCACCCCGCCTCTCCGTGGCTCTGTTTTTAGCTGCAGCCTCCTTTCCTTTGCATCCAGTCGCTAGCGTGCGCCCCCCACCCCCAAACTGTGAATGGCCCGTCAACTCGGACAGGGCATGGGGCTTCCTTGAGGGGGTTTGTTCTTACTGTGCCTATATCTGCCAGTGCCCCTCATTCCCGACTTGCAGCCCCCTGCTAGCCCAGCCCTGGGCTCCCCCGCCCCCAGCTCTGACTGGACCAGTGCCCGTCATTCACAGCCCCCTGCTAGCCCAGTCCTGGGCTTCCCCCCCGCCAGCTCTGCCATTGCCCCTCACTCCTGACCCACAGGCCATTGGTATCTGAGCCCTGGCCTTCCTCCATTCCTCCAGCTCTCCCTGTGCCCCTCAGTCCTGACTTTCAGCCCCCTGCTTTCTCTGGCCTGCTCTCCCCCTCCACTCTGGAACAGGGGGACTTTCTAGTCTGGGGGGTGCCTCCCCACCCACGCTCTGCTGATGCCCCTTGGTGCTGCCTGCAGTGTCGCTCCCCCCCCTCCCCCCGGCCCCATCTCGGTCGTCACAGGCCCAGAGCAGGGAGGGATGGGGCATCAGTAAAGCCAAGCCCTGCAGCTGGGGAGGATCCAGCATCTGTCCAGCTGCTGGGCTGGGGTCTCTGCCGGTGGATGCAGGCGGGAAGTCGGCAGCCCCAGTGACAATGGGACTTTGTGCTGTGAGCGTGTTACCCAGCAGCAATCTTGTGCAACGCTGCACAGGACAGAGCCTGGCGGGGTTGGCTGAGGATCCAGGGCCTGCTCACCTGGCCATGGCCCCCGAACGCAGCCGGGGGGCGGGGGGGAGGGGCGGATGGGTCCCAGGCCCCGGCCAGCTTGGGGGATGGGCTGGCTTTGTGGGTCACTCACTTCCTTCTTTCATGGGGAAGTGGCTTGGGATGGGGACGTCACCCGCTCCCATGGCAGCAGCGGCCACAAGCCCCCCTCCTGAGAGGGGCTGGGCCCGGGGCTGAGACCTCTGGCAGGTCCTTACGTGAGGCCTGCTGTGGGGGTGAGTGGGGCCGGGGTAGGTGTGGGGTGTTGGCGCGCGTGGCTGGGGGTCTGGGACTCTAACGGCACCTCTGCCTTTCCTCCCCAGGGGCCACTGCCACTGAGCCTGACCCAGCCTGTCCGCTCCGGCAGCGGCCCCGAACGGTGAGTGACCTGGGCCTGGCCGCCCTTGGGCACCCAGCCTGGGCCCAGCGTGGCACCTGCTCCCCTGGAATGGCCCGGCAGTGGCAGGAAACCCGGCCTGGGGCCCAGGGACGGCCCCTGGTTTGGCTCCTCGGCTCACGGGCTGCTTGAGCACTGGGCCCTGCCGATAACCAGCTGCCATGTGGCTGGCCCTTGGCATGGTGCCCCCTTCCCCAGGGGCCTCGCAGCCGGGCCAGGGGGATGGTGGCGCAGAGCCCCTGCTGGGCCCCCTGCCCTCTTTGCCAATAGGAGGCGGAGGCCCTGCTCCTTGCCCCCGGCCCTGCCCCCTAGTGATGACACCCCCAGCCCCCGTCTGCCATCCCCTCTGGGCCCCTCTCCCCGTGGTGTAGGCTCGCTGTGGTACCCAGCCCTGATCCCCAGGTGCCCCCATCCCGGGCTGAGCTCCTGGCCCCCGACCACTCCCAGATGGTCTGAGCTCCCCCCAGGCTCTGCCCCGGCTGAGCCAGAGTGGGGGTCACAGGGTGCCCGGCAGGTTTTGGCTTTGCCGGAAGGGGAGACTATTGTGGGGCAGTGCCCAGGTGCCAGCCCATCGGCACTTGGCTCTGCCGGCAGCCCCGGCTCTCGGCAGCGGGTCCCGCTGCCTGGCCCTGCTGGAAGTGACTCACGGCTCATCTGTTGCCCACCTGGGCCTTGGTCGTGAGTGGGATGGGGGTGGGCAGCAGCTCCTTATCCAGGTGGCAGGCTGGGGGAGGGGGAGAGACAGGGTTGGGGGCAGGGCCTCGCTGGCTCCCTGCATCTGGGTCACGGCCCCCAGCCTTGCTCCTTGCCTGGCCCTGGCCTTTCTCATCCCCTCAGACAGCAAGGGCAGGTCTCAGCCATGGTGCCCCCGACCCCACGTATGGGGAGAGGAGAGGCAACAAAGTTCAGTGGGTAGAGCAGTGGGCTGGGAGCCAGGACTCCTGGGTCCTGGGTTCACTCCCTGGCTCTGGGATGGGAGTGGGCTCCAGTGGGTTAGATCAGGGGAGGTGGGAGCCAGGACTCCTGGGTTCTATCCAGGGGGAGCAGGATTGAGGGGGTTGGGGTGTGTGTGTGTGTGTGTGTGTTTGGGGATGGGGGGCTGAGAGTCAGATCTGACTCTTGGGGCAACCTTGGGCATGTCACTGCCCTTCTCTGCCTCAGTTTCCCCCCTGCGGAGTGGAGATCCGAGTGGCTGCCCCAGGAGCTGTTGGGAAGCGCGAAGCCTGTAACGATGCCTGGGCGCTATGAGGGAGCTGCCCTGGGTCTGCACCCACAGGGGGTCACGGGCAGGGCTCTTGGAGCAGAGCCGGGAGCTGGGATGCTCCTGCTGGGGTCTGGAGGGCTGTGTCAGGGCCCCGTGGGGGGAAGCGCGGGGGGGGGTGTCCAGTGGGCTGGGTCAGGGCCCTGTGGTGGGGAGTGTGGTGGGGGGGGGGGTCCAGAGGGCTGTGTCAGCACCCCGTGGGGGGGGAGCATGGTGGGGGGGTCCGGAGGGCTGGGTCAGGGCCTTGTGTGGGGAGCGTGGGGGGAGGGGTCTGGTTTGGGCAGCAGGATCAGGGCCCCGCGGTGGGGGGAGAGGGGTGGGGGGGTCCCGAGGGCTGGGTCAGGTGCCGGCGACGCTGCCCCCTCAGCCCCTGCCACCAGGGTTTTTCTTGGTGGTTCATTTTCCGAATTCCTTGGCAGGCGTGCGGGCAAGCGGGATATTTTTAGCCGGGGTTATCTGCATCTGAGGGCTCCGCTGCTTTCCCACCACGGGCAGCGGGGGACGGGGACGTTTCTTTCCTGCTGGCTGGGGGGCCATTCCCCTCTGGATTGGACTGGGTCACCCCCTGCCACCGCCCCACTGCGTGCGAGCCTTGCACGCTCACTGGGGGGGACCGTCGGGGGCTGAGATGACCCCTCTTCTCGTCTCGGCAGAGGCCAAGTGCATGGGGCTAGACCCCCCCCAGGGGTGGGGCTGGCTTTGCAGCGGTTTGTTGCGGGGGGGGGCTGGGATGATGTGAGGCATGAATCCCCCTCCCCTGCCAGACTCCTTGGTGAGAACTTGGGCGTTGGCAGGGTCTCCGAGGGTGCCCGTTGGGCCACGCTGGGGGTGCCCCCTGTCTCAGCTCAGGCCAAGGCAGGCGGGCTGCTGCCCCCTCTGGGGCCACCGTTGCCTCCTGCCTCCAGCCCCAGCCTGGCTGCGAGCCCCGCGGGCCAGGGGCTGAGTGGAGCTGCTGCCACGTGGCCTGTGCCCGCCTGGTGCCCCGGGCGAGGGAGCTGAGCCCTGCCTGTGCCAAGCTGGGTGCGCAGGGGCCTGGCGGGTCCTGGGGCCCCTTGCTCACCCCCTGTCTTGGTCCCAGGTCACTGCCGGTCTCGGAGGAGATGCGCAGCCTCATCACGGAGAAGGGGCCGGGGCCAGTGGAGGATGATCCTGATGCTATCGTGAAAGGTGGGTGAGGGGCTGGGGGGGACCCAAGGGGCAGACGGACGTCTGGGCAGTTCCCTCCTTCCCGCGGCAAGTCCCTGGGGATGGGGAGGGCTCCACGCTGGCCCGGCCCCGCTGGGATTTGAACTTGGGGCTCCAAGGAGCCTGGGGTCTTGAACTTGCTCCTCAGACGCTGCCCCTGCCCGGCTGGCTCCCACTGCTCTGGGCTGAGGCTGCAGGCAGTGGCTGGGGGCGGGGGAGCCCTGAAGGCCCCATGTCATGGCCCAGGACCAGCCAGCTTCCTGTGGTTGCATAAGGTGCTGGCCAGACGTGAGTGGCGGCTCCCCGGCTGGAACCCCCCCCTCCCCGAGCTGTATTGTCGGGGAGCCACAGCCAGGCCAGCTCCGTCTGCAGCCCTGCCCCTGCCCCCCAGCTGCCAAGGAGGCTCTGGAGCCGTGCAGGGGTCCCTCAGGGGCTGGACTGCGCAGCGGGTACGTGGAGGGTGGGTCCTGGCTGCCCATTGCTCAGCAGCGGCTCGCCCCCCCCCCCCCAGGCCAGCTCAATCCCTTCCCCCGCACCCTCTCCCTGGGGGGCCACCTCCTGGGGGCACCCAAGGGGCTGCAAACCAGAACTGCCCAGGTGGGGGAGAACCGGCTGGCGGGGACCTGGGGGGAGGCCCTGGGGGAGCTCAGCCCGTCTCTCTGTCCCCCTAGGCTGGCTGCCAAGGGAGGTGTGGGGAGCACAAGTGTGGGCAGGGTGGTGCTGGGCCCTGGGGGAGCTCACCTCGTCTCTCCGTCCCCCCAGGCTGGCTGCAGAGGGAGGCACGGGGGGGCGTGAAGGGCCCATGGATCCGGCCCCGGAAGTACTGGTTTGTGCTGACCCAGGACTCCCTGGATTACTACAGCGGCAGCGAGGTGGGGGCCAGGCGCCTTGGCACCCTGGTGCTCACCAGCCTCTGCTCCGTGCTGTGGCCCGACAAGCAGACCTACAAGGAGACCGGTAGGGTCCCTGCCCCAGGCCAGTGGTGCAGATGCTGGGGAGGGTTCACCCTTAGCAGGGGCCCGGGAGGACGTCAGTCTGGAACACAGACCTCACCGGCGTCTGGCTCGACGTCCAGCGCATCCCCCCGGGCTGCATATGGCTCCCTGGAGGGGCCTGCTCTGGACACTAGCCCCTGCCCCCTGGGCCCAGCTCGGGCTGGCAAGGCCTGGGCCCAGCCGCCAGTGCAGGGGGCCAGGCCCCTGCTTTCTGAAGCTGGCTTCTGCCTGGAGCGCGGGAGGGGGCTGGGGCTGGTGGGGCTGGCGGCCCGGGGCCCGGCGGCTGGTGTGAGCGCTCTGCCCTTCGCAGGCTACTGGAGCGTGACGGTGTTTGGCCGGAAGCACTGTTACCGCCTGTTCACAGAGCACCTGAACGAGGCCGTGCACTGGGTGTGTGCCGTGCAGAAGGTGATCCACAGCAAGGCCCCCGTGCAGACGCCCACGCAGCTGCTCATGCACGACATCGAGGTAAGGCCGGGATGGGGGTGCGTTTGGCCGGCCCATGGCTCTCCCTGGGACCCTCCTCTCCCCTTGGCCGGAGGCCTTGCCACAGCCCTGGCCGACTCCCAGCCCTCGGGTGGGGAAGCTGCTGGGACCATCACTGGCTCCCCGGGAACACCCCCCCCCCCCCAAACCATGGCCTGCAGTGCACGGTGCCTGGGGGCAGAGAAGAGGCCCCCGGGACTGGAACCCGGAGCCCCAGCACCTGCCTTCGCCGCGCCCGTCTGTGCCTCGCCCCCTGCTCTGCAGCCCCGGCTGCTCCTTTGTCTCCCCAGGAGAACCGCGGGAGCCCGGAGATCCTGGAGCAGATCTACCGCTGCAACCCGGTCCTGCGCTACACCAGCGGCCCACTCTATGCGCCCCTGCTGCCCTTCCCGTACGGCAGCTCCGACCACCGCGGTGAGCGGGCGGGGGAGAGCCGAGCTCTGCGGCTCCCTGTGGGGGGGGGCTGGATGTGCTGCACGGGGCTCCATGGACAGGGGGAATGCCGCCCCATGAATGGGGAGCTCAGGGAGTGGGGGGCGCTGCCCCGGGGGGCTGAAGAGGAGCCTCCCCCTTGCAGGCCCTGCTGCCGTACGTTTCCGGGCTTTCGGCTGGGCTGCTGCCTGGGCCCCTGCCTGTCCGTGTCTCGTGATTCTCATGCCCAGCAGTGGGGCAGGGTCCCAGCCCATGCTGCGCTGGGCTCCCTCTGTCGCCAGGGCTGGGCACAGCGCTCCTGTGGGGCAGGAAGAGGCTGGGGTTGCTGCCAGGAGCCGAGCTGGGCTCTGACCCACCCACCAGCCCAGCTCTTTCCTGGCCAGCCCCTGCTGGGGGGTGGGTACTGCCCCGCTCCAAGCTGCCAGGGGAGCAGGCCCAGCGCCTGTGCCTGGAGGGTGCAGGGTGTTCCCTTCTGGGTCGCCATGGTGACACTCGTGCCTGGTGGGGTCTGGGTGGGTGTTTGGTGATGGGGGGGATCCCCATTGTGCCAGGTGCTGCCCTGTGTCCGTCCCTCGAGCTCAGTCGGGGCTGAGCTGAGGCTGAGCGAGATCCAGGGCCCGGCCCTGGAAGCACTTGGCCAAGCCAGGACCCACACCTGACCTGCCTGGTTCCTGCCCCGTTAACCGAGCCATCCTCCCCCAGCCCCCGGCCCCCACGGCTACATGACCCTGCGTGACGAGGCCGTGAAGCTCTTCAACTCCCTGCAGCAGCTGGAGTCGGAGCGAGACCCAGTGCCCCTGATCCAGGGCATCCTGCAGACCTGCCTGGATCTGCAGCCCCTGGTTGACGAGATCTACTGCCAGCTGGTCAAGCAGACCACGGAGCCGCCGGCCCCTGGGGGGCCGGGCAACCTGCGCTGCTGGCAGCTGCTCACTTGCATGAGCTGCACCTTCCTGCCCTCCCCGCCGGTTCTGCGCTTCCTGAACTTCCACCTGGGCAGGCGAGTGCAGGGGGTGCGGAGAACGCTGCGGATGGGGCGCGTGCCGGGCCTGGGGGAGGGGGGGCGTGCTGGGTCCTGGGGGCCTTGGGAGGGGGGTGAGGCAGTGCGGGTTTGCCCAGAGGAGGTGCCGTGTACTTGAGGGGTGAAGGGCCTTGCTCTGCAGACCCCTCGCCCCATGGGGAGCTTGGAAGAAGGCCTGGAGCAGGGGGGTACATGCCCCCTCCGCTGGAGCTCTGGCCCCTCATTCCCTACGTCTGTGTCAGCCCCTGTCGGATCTTCTGAGCCCTCAGGCTCAATGTGATCTTGTGGCAGTGAGTTCCGTGGGCTGACGGCGCCAGGTGCCATGTTTCCCAGCCCCACTGCCTTCTCAGCTCTGGTGTGGGAAACCTGACTCCTGTCAGCAGACAGCAAATACCCTGTGAGCTCCCAGCCAGGCCGGGGGGCGAGGGGGACTGTAGTGCGGGTGGGATCTGGGCACCCTGGTCCTACAGCCCCCGGGGGAGCTGCTGGAGGACTCGCTCCGGCTTGGGGGATGGAGCGGCCGTGAGGGCTGAGGGCCAGGTGCCCTTGGTGCAGAGCAAGGGGCAAGGTCCTGGCTGCAGGCTGCCCATATTACATCCCCTGTGGCCTGGCTCTGGGGGTCGGGAGTGATGGCAGCTGGACCCCAGGGGCTGGGTTCTGGGCAGCGTGGCTGGTGCTGCTTGTTCCCTGATGCCCCCGCGGCTTCTTCCGCAGGACAGAGAGCGAGTTCCCTGGCTCGGAGATGGCGGAGTACGGGCGCTTCATCGGGGCGGCCCTGGGCAAGACCCGGGTGCGGGAGTGCGTGCCCTCACTGGACGAGATCGTGGTGCTGATCCAGCGGCAGGACATGCTCTGCACCGTGCACTGCCCTGGAACCTCCGCTTGCACCGTGGCCATCAGCTCCCACACCACGGCTGAGGAGGTGAGCGGGGGATGGGGGGTGGCCCCTCGCCCCCTTGCCTGGGGCAGGTGTCCGGGCGTGATGGGCTGTTGGGGGCCCAGCATGGAGGGGAGGCTCCCGATAGGGGGCCGGCTAGAACCCCAGTGCCCAGGCTGGGGCACCAGGGTTAAGCCATGAGGGGGCACCGGGCCTTGTGTGGGGAGCAGTTGGGCTCAGGGCTGTGGTAAGCAGCCTGGGGGCTCCTGTGCAGACCCCAGCTCTGGTGCCCCGGAGCGTGGGGCAGCCCCTCTTGCGGAAGGCGGGTGGGAGCCACTACTGGGGGAGCATCTGGGATTCCCTGCCGTGACCTGTCTGTGTCCCTTTGCAGCCCTGAGCGCCGTGGCCCGGGGCACGTAGTCACCCCTTGGTTGCCTTTGTCTCGCCCCAGGTGGCCCGGGAGCTGGTGGCTCGGCTGGGCTTGTCTCAGAGCCCCAACGTCTTTGCACTCTACGAGCAGAACCGGCACCATGAGCGGCCCGTGGGCAGGGCCACGCTGGTGGCCGACGTCCTCACCAGGTTTGAAAAGTAAATGTCCCCCCATGCAGCCATCATAGTGGGGCCTGGGAAGAGGGGGCTGGGGGGGGCTGGGGGGAACCATGGGGAGGTGAGCGGGCTGGAGGGGAGGTGGGAGGCTGAAGCCCTGAGCTGCGGGGAGCCAGTGGGAGGGGAAGGCAGGCGTGCCCATGCGGGCGGGAGGAACCAGAGTATGTGTTGGGGGGAATGTCAATTGCCTGGGCCCCATGGCGATACAGCAGTTCTGTCTGGGCCTGGGTGGTTCGTTTGCCCCAGGAGGAGCCGGGGGGCGGGGGTTGCATGGGTCCGGGTGTCCTGGTGCTAACGGGCACCGTCTGTTCCTTCGGCCTCGCCCAGCCTGGCAGGGGAGGAGACGACGCAGGACTCGACCTGGAGACTCTGCTTCAAGCACTACGGCTTCCTGGACACAGAGAACGTGCCCCGGGACAGCGTGGAGTTCACCCTCCTGTTTGAGCAGGTAGGAGCCGGACACTGGCCTGGGCTGAGCAGGGCTGCTGCTTGTGACGGGGCTCCCAGAACCCTGCCCCAGGGCGCCAGGCGCGTGGGGCAATGCTGCAGCTCTGAGCTCCTGCTACTGCATCACCATGGGGGTGTCAGCCCTGCATCCTGGCCCAGGACCCCCAGTGCTTCCAGCCCCAACAGCTGCTGCACCCTACTCCAGAGGGGGCTGCATTATGATGGTGGGTGAGATGGCCTGTGTGAACCTCCAGGGGGCTGAACAGGTTCATGCATGTGGGGTGTGGAGGGCAGGCTACTCACCTGTCTCTTCCTACCCTCCCCCACCTGCCCTCTGGGGCTGCTCCATGGCTGAATCCCCTGCTCAAGCCCTTGTTCCCTGCTGGAGCTGCTTCCTGGCTAAGCCACCCCCTCCCTACCCCCTGGACCACATCCTGGCTGACCCCCCGACCGCTCCCTGGCTGAGCCCCGCCCCTCCGCTGCAGGCCCACGAGATGGTGATCCGGGGCTACGTGCCCACGTCGGAGGACACGCTGCAGTCCCTGGCCGCCTTGCGCCTGCAGACCCTCAACAGCGACTTCTCCACGCACGCCCCCGTACCCCGCCCGGAGGAGCTCTTCCCCGTCCACGCGCTGCACTCCCGCCTCCGGGCCTCCTGCCAGGGCCCGCCCCGGTGCTCCGGCACCCGCCTCCGCGCGGGGCTGCTGGCCGGCGCCCTGCCCTGGGGCCACTCACTGGCCAAGCAGCAGGCGGAGCAGGACCAGAAGTTGCGTGGCCGTCTGCGCGAGGAGGGGGCCAGCATGATGGCTGCCATTGTGGACAGGTGGAAGCTGCTGCAGGGCATGCACCGGGCCGAGGCCATGGCCGCCTACCTGGCGCTGGTGCGGGAGTGGCCAGGGTTTGGCTCCACCCTCTTCGATGTCGACTTCCACACGGTGAGCCCCTTCCCTGGGCTGGGGTCCCGGGAGCAGGGTTGTGCCCCCCAGGCCCTGTCCCCTTTGTAAAGCCGGCAGCGAAGCACAGTGCATGCTTTCTGTAGGACCTACAGAAACAGGAGCAGCTCTGCTGGGGGGGGGGCAGCCATTTTAAATTCGCTCCCCTGTGGTTTTGCATGGAGGTGGGTCACAGCTAGGAGATGAACATTTCCTGGGGGAGATTTCTGGGGGCCCACCCCCCAAGCAGGCCCCGGCAGCCACCCCACAGGAGACCGAGCCCCACCTGGGGGAAGCCACAGCGTCCCCCCATCATTACCCTGAACTTCTCAGGGGGCACTGAGCAGCCTGGCTGGGGTTGGGAGGGCAGGGGATGGAGCTGGGGCTGGTGGGGCCTGGGGGATGCAGGACTGGAAACGGGTCTGGGGGGAAGGGAGGGTCTGTGGGGTTGCCCCTGACTCTCCATCTGTCTGCAGAGCGCGGAGGGCAGCTGCCCCCAGCGCCTATGGCTGGGCATCGGGGCCAAGGCTGTGTCTCTGTACAAGCCCGGGGAGGCTGAGCCCTTCGACAGCTTCTGCTACGGCCGCATCTCATCCTTCGGGGTGTCTGAGAGCAGCACCTTCCGCCTCTCCGTGGGGGACAGGGACCTGCTCTTCGAGTGTTCCCGGGTAAGGCCCTTGCACTCCCTCCCCTCCCCACGCAGGCGGAGCGAGGCCTCCCTGCAGCACCGGCTGGGTCGCCCCCCGCAAGAGCCTAGCGCTGGTGGCGGGGACTGTGCAGGGACAGCGGGGGGCCGGGGAGCCAGGGCTGAGCCCGGGGCGCCGGCCAGGCTCCAAGATACCTCAAGTGCCCCTGACTGGCCTTTGCTCCCCTCCAGGTGGATGAGATTGCCCAGCTCCTGCACACGTACCTCACCAGCCTGGCCAGCGGGCAGACGCCCCCACGGGAGGAGCTGGCCAACGGCTGCCGCCCTGGGAACTCACCAGACTCGGGCCTCCGTCCCCCACAGCAGAGACTGTGCCCAGCAACCGAGCCCTGGCGGCACCAGTCCAGTGCAGGCTCCTTCCCCATCTAGCTTGCTGGCCCCGTGTGCCAGCCCAGGTCACGTGCCCTTTGGTGGGCCCCTCCTGCACTAGCCGTGGTCCTGGCGTGCGCAGGGGGCTGCGGCTGCCCCGGGGCGGCTTGCGCCCTGCCAGCACTGTGAGAATCCTGCCCACTGGGCTGGGGAGCTGGGACATCGGCTGCTGGGGTCTGGTTTGGGCCCCAGGGTCAGAGCCCTGGAACTACGTGGTCCTGAGGAGTTGGACGCTCTGTTCCCAGTGTGGCATCTATAGCCCCTGGCTCTGAGCAGGGGGTTGGGGGTGAGGGGCAGAGACTCGCTCCCCCCACTCAGCTGTTGGGTTGCTAGTTTATTTCCTTAATTTATTTGTAGAAACACCAGCTCCCCGCACTCTCCCTGGCACCCCCGGCTGGGTGCTGCAGGTGCCCGGCCCGGCGGGGGTGCGCCAGACGCTGCTTGGCACCTTATTCCTGGCTCTGTCCTGGGGTGCTGGTGTTGGTGCCTTGCCAGCTCGGGGGGACGTTGCTGTGGCACGACTGGTTTGTCATGCCCGTCCCTGCCCGGGCTGGGGATTCCCCCTTGCAAGTCCTGCTCGGCTGGTGGGAAAGGGGGGGACCTCCCATGCCGCCCCTGAGTTCTGGCGATGACTGTGGGCACCAGCACGGGTGGGCCAAGCTGTGTAGCTGCTTGGGGGCCCTGAGGCTGGCCAGTTGCTGCGGGGGTGGGGTTGGCAGTCTGTTTGCTAGGACCATGGGTGGGAGGTGCAGAGGCTGCTGTCAGCGCCGGTGCTGGCAAGGGGTGTCACCTCCAGGCATCCTGGGCCGGCACCACCTGATCCCGCGGATAGTCACTGCGGTGACTTCTCCCAGCGCTTGAAGGGTTAAGGGGCCTCTCTCCCGTCTGCCTGCCTGGGGCCGAGCTCCCCTTGGGGAGGTCCCCGGTGGCGTTCCCAGGTGCCTTTACGCTGCTCGGTGCCATGGCACCGGGCCCCCTGCGGAGCAGAGCCCTGCCCTGGGCCCATTGGTAACTTGCAGCATCCTCCTGCCTTCCACCCCCATCCGTCTGTCTGTCCTGTGCACCAAGCACCTTCCCCCTCTCTGCCCCAGAAAGCTGCAGGCGGCCTCTGAGTGGCGGCTTGTTCCCGCGTGGGCCTGTCTCCGTGCTGTGCCGGTCAGGCCCTAGAGATGCAGTAGCTCCATGTGGGGGTGCTGTGGGCCAGGCCCAGGTTGGGGGGGCCCTTCATGGGAGCGGGGGCTCAGACCTCTCTCTGTGTTGCCTCTGTAAAGTTCCTGTTCTTGTTTTTGTAATAAATGCCCAAGGAAAGTGCAGAGCCTGCTCCGTTCTGACCCGCCACAGCCCCTGGGGAGGCTGGGGGTGGGGCTCCCTCGGAGCAAGGGAGGGATGGCAGCCTGGCATCTCTGCTGAGCTGCCACTTGTGTCCAGAATCGGGGCCTGCTTTAGTGCCCTCCCGTCTCTGTGCCTGTGATGAAAACGGGGCCCGAGCGTAACCAGCGCAGGAGCTCCTGCCTGCGTCTGCAGGGAGCCTGCGGGGGAATTGCCCTGGGCTTCCCAGGCAACTGGCGACCTCAGGAGCCGAAAGCTTTAAACGTCCCATGTAGCACCCTGGGTGCTCTCCCCAGCCAGAGGGGACAAGGGGCAGGCTCCCAGCATGACAGCGGCAGGATCTGCTGGAAGCATCTCCCCATGGGGCCATACGTGGGTAGCCCAGCTGGGCTCAGTTGTTTGCCCCCCACTGCCCCCCCTTGGTGAAGGAGTCCTGCCCGCGGTGGGAGGGACAGGTCTGGGGCACTGGCAGGGAGTGTACTGAGGGGCAGGGTTGATGTGCAGGCCCAGTGGCAGGGGGCTGACAGGCAGGTGGGGGGTGGCATTGGTGTGTTGCCCTCTCTGCCACCCTGCTCAGTACTGGGGGCTGGGGCCCTGGGTCAGCCTGCACCAGAGTTAAGCTGCCCACTCATCCTGAGACTTGCTGAGGAAACTGGGGTCTTGTCTTGGGTCCTCCTGGGGGCAGCTTCTTGCAGGGGAGGAGATGCAATTCCCCCAGCCTGCATGCCCCAAGGGCCCGGGCTGGCAGAGCCTGGGTTAACAAAACGGGCAATGGCCATGTCCCTGGCAGATTGGCTGGTCCCTCCCCCCCAGCCAGAGAGCCCTGGCATGGAGGCAGAGCGCTCGCTTTGCTCTGACCTTTGGCATTTAATCAACGCTGCAGCCACCTCCCCCCGGCCTCGGTCCCAGCTTCACCAGGCGCCTGCCCAGGGAGCTGGGGGAGGGGGCAGCCCCCAGCTTCCGCCTGTGCCCAGCAGGGCGTGGGAGCCAGGCTGGGCACATGGCAGGGGAGTATTTTTAGCTCCCGTCTCTGTGCTGCTGGCCCAGAGGACAAGGCTAATTCTCACCTGGGCTGGAGCCAGTGACCCCCAGCCCGGCTCAGCTGCTCGCTCCCATGGGGGAGCCGGGCCGTGGGGTGAACCAAGCCCCTCCCTTTAACTGCAGCTAAATCCAGCCCCAGCTGGGGGCCTTGCTGGGGTGCCCTGGTACTCTCTTCCTTCGCCTGGCAGGGAGGGGGCTCGTGTCATGGGGCCCAGCCAAAGTCCTACTCCAGGCTGAGCTAGGAGTCAAGTCCCTGGGCAAGGAGGGTGGAGCCAGGCCCCCAGCAGGGGCTCTGGGGAGAAGGGGTGGCAGAATCAGCCCCAAACAGGAGCGTGCACTCAGCCGGCCCCTGCTCGGGGGAAGGGGAATGCTGGCTGCCTGAGCCATGGCATTTGTGGCTCTGCTGTGTTCATCCCAGGAGCCCCCCAAGCAGCGGGGAAGGTCCAGTGCCTGTGGCCCCCAGTGCCCCCAACAGCTCTGAGCTGGCTCCTCCTGCCCCTGTGCCTACCCCCCTCTCCTTACTGCTGGGCTGCTCCGCCACCGGGAAGGTGCAGGGGGGACGAAGCCTGGGGGAGGTCACGGGGGACGTGTGGGGCCTTCACCCACCCGTGGCTTTCTGGTGCCAGGCTGCTGCCAACCCAAGCACATTAACCCTCTGCAGGCTGCAGAGGCTGGGAGCAGCCAGGCTGGGACCTTCCCGCCCAGGTCTGGGGCTACAATTCAAGATAGATGTTGATAAACTGGAGCCAGGGCAGAGAAGAGCCACGAGAATGAGAAATTATTAGAAACCTGTCCGAGGGCCAGACGCCAGGAGCTTAGTGTATTCAGCGCGGGTTCGGGGGGAAGCCGATCACAGCCTGTAAGTACCTCTCTGGGCTGACACGGGCCCATGGCTGGAATGCAGGGGAGCCTTTTTACACGAGTAACTAACCCCTGGACCCCAGACCGAGGGGTGGGGGGATTCACTCTTTACATCAAGGCTGAATGGTTTGGAAAACTCGGCTCCAGCTGGGGCAGGTCACGGGAGGGGTCTGATCAGGTGGTCACCTTGGTACCTTCTGGCCTTGGACTCTGCCGGCCCGAGAACAGTCCTGTGCGCTACCTGCAGGGAACAGCAGGCCTGCTCCCCTGGAGCTACCGGAGCCCAGCCCGTCCTTAGCAATGAGCAGGTGCTGGGGTGCCCAGGTTGCCCTTCACCACACCCAGCCAGCTCTGGCCCTATGCCAGCCTCAGGACTGGGTTACACGCAGCCCTGAGCCCTGCCCACATTCCAGCTCGGTGAGCTCCAAGGAGTGAAGCAGTGCTGGGCTCCCCACTCCCAGGGTACTTTGGGGCCTCTGGTTGCTGCTGAAGGAAAAGCCCAGGGCTGGTCTCTGCTAGGCAGGTAGGGGGCAGCTGGCTCTGCAGGGCCCCCCCAGCACTGCGGGCCCAGGCAGCACTGGCTGGGGGATGGGGCAGTTGTCACCTTCTCCGTGCCCTCGGTCTCGGCTCTGTCGTGCCCCAGCAGTGCAGGAAGGGCTCAGTGCAGCAACAGCCTTTATTCAAGCAAAATAAGCTACAAAAATAGATACAGCCTCCGGCCCCAGCCCCCAGCGGTGCCCGCTGCCCAGGCACAGAAAGAACCAGACCCAGGACTGAGGGTAGCCTAGGGCCCAGCTTAGCTCAGCCAGGTCCTACACCCTCCCCCCCTTGAATGAGGTCTTAGCCCTGGACCGTTCCAGGCTGGTGCATGTGGCTTTTGCCCTCCCCGCGAAGGGGAGCACTTAGGGCAAGGATTCCTGCTCCCACACAACACCCCCGCTTGCGGCGAGCCGCTGCCCACAAACCCTGGCCGGGGAAAGGCCTCTGTACTAGGGAAGCCACCAGTGGTGGGGCCCTGCCGGGAGGGGGGGCCTACAGGCTCTGCCTCACAATGGGGTGACTCCCAAGGGTACAGTGCTGCTGGGCCAGTGCACCCCACTCTGTCCCGGCCCAGGGGGTGAGCAGAAGCCATGAGGACATGTACACGGGTGGCTCGTGGCCCCTGAAGCTACATGGGAAGGGGCCGTACCCCCTGCACGCTCCCCAGCAGAGCCTGCGGGGGCTCACTGCTCCTGCGTGCCCCAGGAGATGTAGTCGGGGCGCGTGGCTGCGTGGTACTCGTCAATCAGCTGCTGCACGATCTCCCGGGAGTTGTCCAACTCGTCGAAGTTGTCCTTGAAGATATCCTCCTTGCGGAACTGCTCCAGGAAGGCCTCCCTCTTACGCAGCTTGTCGTACTGCCGGCAAGTCCGCTCAAACAGCTGTGATGGCCCCAAGTCACAGTCAATATGGGGCCGTCCCGTCCCTCACCCCACAACCAGGGGAAAGTGCTGGATGGTCCCTGCGGGCTGGGGCGTCCCCCTGGCCATGGCTACCCCGGGAAGAGGGCGTGAGGGGGCGTCCCTGTGGCCACCCTGGCTCACCACCTGCAGGTGATGCAGAGCAAGCCCATGCAAAGGGCTCTCAGAAAAACTCTGCTTTTGGGGACTCCTTCGCAGCCAGGCTGTGACCTGGGGAACACCCTGCACTCCCCGAGCTGCTTTCAGCAGAGGGCTTTCCAAGGGGCTAGGGGACTCTGCCAAGATCCTAGAGGATCTTTACTCACACAAGAAGGCTGTCCCTCCAATGGCAGCATGGCCCCACAGGGCAGGGCAGGACAAGGGGAATCCACTACTGGGTTAATGGACAAGCCCAGCGGACAGCCTCTGTTCCTGCCAGTGGACTCAGCAGGCCAAGTTTCAGGGGTCGGAGGCTGGGGGAGGGGCTGGGAGCTGCGCCCGGAATGATTTTCTACTGAAGGAAACGCTGCAGGGCAATCAACCGGCTCCATCCCCCACTTCCAGTCACTGCCTTCTCTGGCCTGGCTGGGGCGGGAGGCAGCACACCGCCTTCCGCTCTCCTGCGGATCCCCGGCAGATGCGGCAGCAGCCAAGCCAAAGGGTACATGAGAGCAACCAAAGGTGACAGCCCCTGCCCGAGCAGCCTCCCGGCGAAGGGCACTCGGCAGCAGAGAGTGCAGGGCAGGCGGATGGGAGAGCGAGGGGCCGAGCCCAGCGGCCTTGCCCGTACTCACCGAGGAGATGTTGGTGTGGTTTGCCATCATCAGGCCGCTGACACGGTGTGCAGACGGCAGGTACGGGGACTTCCTGGACAGTGCCACCTGGATGCTGGCAGGGCCCCAGGGGATGAAGTTGGCCAGTTTCCTCTCCCGGATCCTCTGCAGGCTCTTGTGAACCTAGGGAGACACGAGCAAGGGCTCTCCCCAGGCGCCTGCCCTGACGAGACTCACAGCAGCAGAGGGGCCAGGGGGCTGAACTCCCCAGCGCTGTCTAGCTGCTCAGCCAGGCGCTTTGTGCAGACCAACGGGCAGGACCCAGCGCGCCAAGGGGCACAGTCCCAGTGGGGCACAGTCCCAGTGCTGCTCGTGGGGCAGGGTCTCAGCAAGTGCCTCCTATGACTGGCAAATGACGATGGGCGGCCTTTCCCAGGGCCGCCGCCTGGCAGCGAGGCCCCCGCCAGACCTGCAACATTAGCCTTTTGGCTGGCTCTGCCAGCAGCTGTTTCCTGCATGGACCTGCAAGCCTGGCTGAGGTGGGTGGGTGTCCGAGCCTACTCCCCACTGCAACGCCTGGCCTGCTCCCACGCCCAGCCCTAGCGGCATCTGCCTGCACGGTGCCCAGGGACGCACGACTCAGCCAGCCCCGGCTTGGGGCCAGGTTGCAGCTTGCTTACCTGCGTCGGGTCCACCTCGCCCTGGATGATGTTCAGGATGGCGATGTAGCAGTGGTTGGTCTGTCTGTCCCGCCCAGTGGAGACCATGACGTTCTTCGGCTGCAACAACCTTCTCATCACGTCCAGGACCGTGGTTTTCCGCACGCTGGCCACCTGCAAACGCCAGCACGCGGCACTCAGGGGGAGACTG